CTTTTTAATCGTGTGGTATATCAATAAATTGATTGTTATTATTAAAGGTTTTATGTGCTATCCGTTTTAACTGTTACTGCTGTTGAAACTCCTGAAGTGATATCGTTGTAATATCGGTAAGGGCCCATTTTTTTTTATTGTGTAGCGCATTTCTACGAGGTTCGGATCACTATTTGCTGGTTACTATTCAAGCGATTATTATCGAGCAAGTACCATTAGGGTGAGTGATATTCGACGGCATCTGACAGCAGTATTGTTCAACGGCGTTACTATATTTGTAACTGCGATTACAAAGTCTCTACTACAATGAGCATTACGAAAGTGACAACGAGTGTTCGTTAACATCACAAAACATACAAAAATAGATCCCAACGACAAAAGGGGGTTCTGAAAAACTGAAAAAAAAAAATAGACGATACTCTAGGTGAAAATTTATAAAATCTTTTATTAAAATAGGATCCTCAAATCTAGTAGCGTTTATTGCTCTTACCATTATAGATAGCGGATTTCTTCCGAACTTTTTAATCGTGTGGAATATCAATAAATTGATTGTCATTATTAAAAGTTTTATGTGCTATCCGTTTTAACTGTTGCTGCTGTTGAAACTCCTGAAGTGATATCGTTGTAATATCGGTAAGGGCCAATTTTTGTGATTCTGTAGCGCATTTCTACGAGTTTCGAGAAAGGATGGTCCTTGCTAAGATCTGCGGGTTTCATTCGTTTAAAGTTATTTTGTAACTACCGATATGAGAAAACGGTTGTTTACAGCTAATTGTTTAGTTATTCCTGGACAAGATCAATTGCTAGATTTTCTCCTAGGAAAGTGGGTTCACTGTGTTGTGTTAGACAATTTTTCACGCTAGAATTTATTTTAAATAATTATAATCTACTATTCGTTCATACTTATAATATTGCTCTCATATATGGTCTGGTGCTCTACTATATATTTAGAGATCATCGATAAAATCCAATGGATAGTCTGCAATGTCATGATCTGGCATCTCAGCTTCAGTCACTTTCTCAGCACCATAGCTTCCCTCTGCCTTTTCTATAAATACTTTCATGGTAATTGTTCTGATGAACTTTCTTCTATGGTACGGAGACGCTAGGAATTTAAACACAGTACTAGATTGGTGACATGATCTCATTATTTTACAGATGCAACCGTAAATTCTATGCTAAAATTTTCTTTTCTCGCTCGTATTGCTTGCGAAAATCTATTCCGGCTTCTTGCTTTCAGTCAAGAATTTAAATGCAATGTCAACCTTTATCTTCTATTTTAATTTTATCTCTTTTATTTTTCTCAATGATACTGTTTTCTTTTTTCTTTTTTCACACTCACTAACCCAATGGGTCTTAGTGGCTTTCTTGTCTTGCTTGGGGTGAAATAATTATATATATATATATATATATATATATATATATATATATATATAGTTTAACTGGAAATGTATCTTTATGCATTAGACATCCGACAACATTCATTTTCTCTTACTTAAAGCCCTTCCACCCACCTCTCTTAAAATTCTCTCTTTTAAGGTTTAATCTCCCTCCTACACATACTTACACTCTCTCTAAATTCTGTTTTTATTTCCGGAGTTGTTTTTTCTGTGTTCTTTTTTAATTTGTAGGTCTGATGAATTGGATCGTATTTACGATTCCAATGGAATAAATTATGACCATGGAATATTAGTGTTTAAGCCTTTTTTATATATATATATATATATATATATATATATATATATATATATATATATATATATATATATATAAAGGGGACTTGAATAATAATAATTAATTCATCGAGTCTAGAAGAATCCTTAACAGAATGCAGAAAGCACTGGATGTCCTATTTTGGTGACTCATCAGTAGTGTGCATCCAATACCAAAAATCGAACCCAGACCGTTACGATATGACGTTCCATAGTCGTAAACACACAAAGAAAACATCGAGTGGATGCCCGAAAGCGGTTGGCTTTAAACACTGATACTTTTACGGCAGCTCCAGCAAATACTCCGTCTCCAAATGTAATCTTTTGCCGATACGCCTAATGCAGGCGTTTAATTTGGACAGCGCACGGCCTCTATATGCCACCGCCCAGGTTGTTGTCTTGGGAAGATCATTCCAGTCTCACTGAATTTTGACCAAACACGACGCTACATTTATGTAGCGAGGTAAACGGATTTCTTTGAATAATTGACGCATTTTTTTTCTGTGTAAAACAAAACTCAGCTATAGTCATGAAATTATATAATTTTATATCTGCATCGATTAGTTCTTAAGTGTTAGTGAATGATCCAAAAAAGTCACAGTATTCATACAGTATTCATGGCCACCGGCTTAGAAGAAAAATATCCAGCAGAAAATGTATGATCTTATCCAACTCTTATCCAACATGTAGTTGACAGTTTTTATTATGACGTCGACTACATGTTAACTTGTGCCAACAACGAGTTTTTTTTTAGTCTTTTTTCGTAGTGTTTCTTTTAGTGTGCAAACAATGTTAAGACTTTAGTTGAAGCTATAAATCAACTGTTTTTTTTATTTTTTTTATTTCCCACGTTGACGATTACAAAGTTTACGCTGAAAGTCACTTTTACTAAATGGCCGTCTTGCAGAGAACGTGTTAAATACTGACGTAGGTAGTGACATAGTCCACTTTACACTTTCACTAGCGCCTTGTCTAGGGACTGTTCTAATCCCAATCTCCAAAAGTGTAGGAAGACTTGCAATATTTACAGAATATGTAACTAACTTAATCGAAGAATATCTTCAAATAGACCGGGGGTGGGGTCAAGTACCGAAATCTCAAAGAAGATTTACAAATAGAACAAAAAGACAGAAAGTTAGGGGGAGCCATGACCCACTAAATGGAAATGAAATCTGAAGAAGGAAAAACCTTCCTACCGCTAGAGTTTGACAGGTTTCTAATAACAATATTCAAGGTGTCTGTTTTTAACTTAAAGAAAGTTATGGACAATCGCAACATGCTTTAACTCTAGGATGGCCGAGGTGTCGTTTCCGACACCTTCAAATTTTCAACAAATTCCTATGGAATAACTAGTCATGGTTCGATGCTGAGGCTTATGGACAATTATTGAATTTTAGCAAAGATGCTTAACAGACTTAATTCTTTAAAAACTATTCAGTGGAATAGCTGATATTTGAGGTTTTACCTTGAATGGCCGAGGTGTCGTTTTTGACACCTAGGCTATTTATAGGGTAAATGCATTGTAAAATTTCTCACGAGCAATAATAATTGTGTTTATGTCCCCTATCTATCTATTTATCTATCTATCTATACACACATACATAATATAAATATATATATATATATATATATATATATATATATATATATATAAATAATCACTTTCTTTCAGTATGAGGTATACTAATATTTGTGAATTTCTTTTCAGACTTCTTATTCCTGACTTGAATATATTAGAGGATGGCTGCTTCATGGCGTAATGTAAATAAAGATGTCAAAGGAGCTGGCCATCCTAGTGTTAACAAAGAAGCAGATAGAGGCCATTATATTTGTAGAAATTAGGAATTGTTAGATAATTTAATATGCGTAAAAATGTGCGAATTAGTCGCAAGTTAAACAAGATAATAAAGAATAAGTTTTATTTTTTATAATAATGTTCACAATGTACAAGGCCAAAAGAACTAATCGGGGTACAGGGATTCAAAGAACGAAGTACAGTTTATGGATATACGGGTGGAACATAACGGTTTACCCTCGACTTGATTATCCAGATTACATCGAAAGTACGCTGGTTAAACTCTGCGTCCAGGCAGAGAGGGTCCCCAGACGAGGCTCTGTCGAAAATCAGAATCTCGTCTGGGGAAATAACTACTCGACTCCGTTTTTTACGGAGTCAACGTGGAATTTTGGGCTTTGCCCCCAGGCTCGGATACTCCACAATAAACTCGACATTGTGCCACATCCGACCGCGTGGGAAGGTTAGTGAGTATCATTACTATACTAATTACTATTCGGATCACTATTTGCTGGTTACTATTCGAGCGATTATTATCGAGCAAGTAGTATTAGGGCGAGTGATATTCGACGGCATCTGACACCAGTATTGTTCAACGGCATTACTATATTTGTAACTGCGATTACAAAGTCTCTACTACAATGAGCATTACGAAAGTGACAACGAGTATTCGTTGACATCACAAAATTCAGGACATTGCCGATCATGGCTCTCCAAAACTTCCTAAACCTTGTGGCCCTTAACAATGTTTCTCTTTTTGCTAAGCCGCCATATCCATACAATAAGTTTGGAAGGTAAGTAGCACGCTGCCTTCACCTATACCTCTTGCTCTCTCAATATGCCCGTGAGGGGTAAGCCTTTTTCCTCATTATATGTCGAAGAAATTTCAACCGGTTTTTCTTATTATGAGTTATGTTCATTTTTTTTAAATATTTTCTTTAAGACTTACTCGCTTCGTCCATGGAATTCTCAGCATCCTTCTGTTGTGCCCAGTTATTTTTTTTTATCTGTGGGAATATTGTCCAGCATTCACTGCCATATAAAAAGGTAGATATGACATAGAGAAAAAGCACTCTTCTTTGTTTCTAAAGATTTTTTTCCTGTTTCATAATACATGACTTAGATTTTGGAAGTCATCTTTCACTATCCAAATGCGTGTCTACCAAGTTATGTTTCGCTTTTTCCTCGGGCTGTACAAAAAAACACTTTCCACATATATAAACTTCTATGCTGGCTTGATGCTGATATCTACAACTCTTAACTCGCATCTAGGGCCTTTTCTCTTAATGATGACCAAAGTTTCTATCTACTTGCACTTGTTGGTTAATCCTTTTTCCCTCACTTTCCTTTACTACACTGCCAAATGGGGTCCCATAGTTTTCTTGCAGGGTAACCAGAGTTGTGAACGACGTATCAAATACTTTCGAGACGAGAAAGCCGATCGGTAATATTTGTAAATGAAAATTGGCATTTGGCGTATTATATATTTGGCTTTACGACCGTATCAGGTTGAAACACCCGTTCCCGTACGATCACTGAAGTTAAGCAACGTCGAGTCTGGTCAGTACTAGATTGGAAATACAAGATGCTTTAAACTTAGATATACGGATGCTCTAATTTATAATGATTCGTAATTATTAATCGGGGAGCGGAGTTCGAATTCCAGTTAGGTTCTTTATATTCACTTACACGTAAATACCCTGGGGAAAGGTATGGAGTCACCTCTTCTTCTTTATAGGTAAGACTTGTGTCTCTCAACCATTATTATCTCCAAAAATAAATTTACAATCTAAAAGTATTTTCTGTTTTTAAATAACCTGCAAAGGGTTGGTAAACCGTAAAAAATCAGTCAATGAATATTATTAATTTCTATTTTATTTCGTTATTCATTTCCTGTTAACTTTAATATTAATACTTTGTCATCTACCATGATTTAATAATATTTAGTAATAATTAATATATATTAAATATATCAATTATATATATATATATATAATATTTTTATATTATTATTATATAATAATATAATTATAATCTTTATATATATATATATAATATTTTTGTTTAAAAATATGATTTCTTCGCTACATAAGAGTTCTCATGTTTCAAAAACGAGAGCCGAAACCATCCAAATAATTATTAAAATTAAGTTGAATGGAGGTGTTTAGTTCCGTTTCATCTTCAAGTGAAATTTTTGGAATCGAAAAAATATTATGAAACCAAAAAATATTATTATAATAAAGCCCTACTTCTGTATGGAGCACTGTCTTCTTAGAAATAAAAACAAAAATACTAAGGAACTCCGGATTATGCACCCAACGTGTTCTTTTCTATTTTTTTTGCATACCTGCGCAATTATATATATATATATATATATATATATATATATATATATATATATATATATATATATATATATATATAAATTAAAACTGGCTTATTAGTAAGCCAGTTTTGTTTACTAATACTAGTATAGTGGATTGGATCCTTACCGGGTGACAACTATTAAAACTGTAAGCTAAACTAAAGTTAGTAAATAACTCAGGCAGTTTCTTCTGGGTTGGAGTCGTTCAATCCTCCGGTCCAGCCATAGAGTTCAAAATTGTTTACGTCATCTTGTGGGGATTGCCTTATTTTCCACACCCTACCCTTTTTGTTTTTTACCCAGAGATGAAACGTTGCATGACTATCGCTACTCTCTCACCTTTTCCATGGTTAATATTCATAGTTTGGTCAACTCAAAGTTTTTCAGCTAAGACCCGCCATGCTACTGCTAAGGAGTTGAATCTTCTTCATTTCCCCCGTGTTTTAAATTCCAGAAGGTGCTACTTTTCTTTAACAGACTATTTAAAATAAATTATTTCTCTGATGAACAAATGAAATTAGAATACCTCCAGCAAAATTAATTTGTTTTATAATGTATATATATATATATATATATATATATATATATATATATATATATATATAATTTTTTGATTAAAAATATGATTCCTTCATAACATAAGAGTTCTCATGTTTCAAAAAACGAGCCGAAACCATCCAAATAATTATTAAAATTAAGTTCAATTGAGGTGTTTAGTCCCGTTTCATCTTCAAGCGAAATTTTAGGAATAAGCTATCTTTCGGCTTACGTGTGTTTTTAAGCGTGGTCCGTTACAAAATTCGTCATTGTGGGAGTGGCTAGACTATTTTCCTTCGTTAAGTGGTCAGAGAGTTAATTCTTATCAATAGATTCATCATCTTCTGCGAGGTTTTGTTAAGGTTGGATAGGGTATCTATTTCAAGGCTAATGTTTGCGGTCACCCTTTAGTTAGTTCCCAGTGAGGGATATTTTTATGGCACACCTACAAGTCGTTATATGTCTGGAGAATTGTCTTTTATTATTGTCCATCTGATTATCTATTTATTTATTTGTTTATTTAGGTGGGTGTTATATACAAATCGTATTGCACTGAATTTTAGTTTGTCATTTTTCTTTTTTGACGACTACAAAAAGGGTTTTTCCTATTTAATGATTTGGCTAAGCTTTTAAGACTTTTATTTAGCTATGGGATTTAAAAAAAAATTTTTTTTATGCTAATTACTTAATGCGAAAGTTTGTTGATGCCGACAGAAAACCGTTAACTCCTGCCTATGGTTTAATAATTTTTCATTATTTAGGAATTTAATGATGTTTAGTTTTTCCTGTAAGCATAAAGGGCATGGGTCATCTCAGGTTTTACAAGTTCTTGTTTTATTCGTTTCTTTTAGATGCCAGAGATATTGATATATTGCGTATATATATATATATATATATATATATATATATATATATATATATATATATATATATATATATATATATATATATATATATATATATATATATATAAGTGAACATTGAAGTCAACACTCAGAGGTGACAGGCTGTTTCATACTAGACACAATCGTCAGGCCAGACGATTGCATCGCCTCTAAGTGTTGACTTCAATGTTCACTTTTATATACACACACTTTATCTCTGATATTTAGCACTTTATCCATAAATAAGAGCATATTTCTTCATATATATATATATATATATATATATATATATATATATATATATATATATATAATGCAAATATAAAGTGTGTCAGATGATAAGTATTACTTTCAGCATCTCGACGACAGTTTCCTTCACCAATAACTCCGTCTACTCGTCAGGGGTATCAGCAATGTTTTTGTATGCACATAGACACACATGCATATATATAAATATATATATATATATATATATATATATATATATATATATGAAGATTATGAAACATCCTGACTTCAGTGTTCACTTTTATATGTATATATATATATATGTATATGAAGAAATATCAGAGTATGTAACAGCCTATCGCCTCTGAATGTCTATTCATTGTTCACTTTTATATATATATATATATATATATATATATATATAAAGAGAGAGAGACACAGAAATAGTGACAGAGAGTAATGCGTGAAGAGATAATTTACATAATCTATAATATATATTTTTTCAGGCATAACTTCATTATTTTATAATTACTTTCATATTTCCAAGGTCTACGCTTTTTTTTCACCTTACAACGGAAATTCTCCTCTTTGCAAAAATTTGAATATTCTTCCACGCTACGTACACACACCGAAAAATGATATTTTTTTCTTGAGTTCTTTTTTCTTCTATTCATTTTGGGAATAGAGAAAAGAAAATAATGTTTTTCAGTGCAAGTAAATATGAAGCTTTTAAAAATAATTAGCTGCACATAGAATTTTTTTCTTCTTCTTCTTCTTCTTCTTCTTCTTCAAACCTCACTGTTGTCGCTTGATGAGCACTGAGTGAACTTTTCTTTTTTATGTCACAATCATCTTTCACTGCAGGCGATTCTCATTATGTTTTATGATCTGTTCTGACACAATTCTTAAAGGAAAAGCGATATTGTCACTTGAGGCTAAATACTTGAATGGATCAAGTTTAGCGCGAATATGACTCAAAACATGTCATTTCCACAAGATCTGAAAGCTCTCAGAATATTGAATTTAATAAACAATTTATCAAGAAGTTACATTAATTGCTACTTTATAGATGTCTTCTCTCCCAGATTTGTTAAGCTTAATACGGTATTACACAAGCAATGACATAGAACGTATTCATAATTTTTTTTTATTCAGATGACGTATGCGCGTTGGTGTCATGGATGGTGGCTCTGAAGGAGAATTCGGAGAACAGAGTTCGAATTCTAGACGGATTCGTTATAGTCCCTTACGTGTAAATACTCCTGAAAAAAAATGGATGAATTCTTCTATTTATGGGTAGATATCAGGACAAACTTGGTCCTACAGCCTTGGTTGGCAACCAGTCAAGGAGGAACAAAACTGAATTCCAACCAGCGTGGAAACGGCTAGGATCCGTCAGGTTCTCTTACCCGAAAGACAGCACTGCCTCTACGTCTGCACTACATGTGATGCCACTATAACCCTTAAAGATTATGGAACTCGTAATGGAATATTCTAGAGAACTGTAGCCTATTTTTCACTATTACCTTTACTTCTCTTATTCTAATATACCATATCCTCCATAAAATCGTCATGTTCCGATTATTTTCACTGTAAATGTAAAGAAAACTGAAGTTGAAGCGTAAACCCAGTGTGAGATAAAACACAAACTTTGGGAATATTAAAAGATATCACAGAATCAGTTATGTGCCATGCGTGATACAAGCTTAGTCGATTATGTATCTTTCGATAGATGAATGATGAGGCAGATTTTTTTCTCGCAGTAGGTTGCCTTAGGATATAGAACTCAGTCTGCCCTGCTATTTACCCATAGCAAGGGGGAGAAATAAGTATTCATACCTTTCTCAAGAGTATTAACACGTAAGTGAATGTAATGGATTCGACTGGAATTCAAACTCAGCTCTTCGATTCCTCAATCCGCTATCACTACTCCACCGTGCCTCATATATATGGTGAAGTATATACATATAAATTGAACATTGAATTCAACACTCAGAGGCGACAGACTGTTTCATGCTAAACGCACTCGTCAGGCAATTTACACACGCTCTATCTCTGATATTGAACGCTTTATTCCATCAATATAGTACACCTTAAAAGTATATTTCTCCATATATATATATATATATATATATATATATATATATATATATATGATCATGTATCTTTCAATACATGACTGACGAGGCAGATTTTTTTCCCCGCAGTATGTTGCCTTAGGCTATAGAATCCAGTCTGTCCTGCTATTTAACCATAGAAGTGGGTGGAGAAGTAGAAGATTCATACTTTTCTCAAGGGGATTAGCACGTAAGTGATTGTAATGGATTCGACTGAAATTCGAACTCGGCTCTCTAATCCATCAGCCCGAGCCGTGCCTCCACCGTGCCTCCTCCTACAGAACTAATAGAACAAAATAAGTGATGAAAATTGGAATACTGAAAACAGTTCGGGGGTATCGTAAGGACTTATAACATGCATGTAATCAAAAAACTTAATTTTGTTTCCAATCGTAATTTCAGAAAAAATATAACTGTCATTATTAGAATTCATTATAATATATAT